TTCGAAACCTTGAAGGGTGAATATCTTTATCCCGAGTTAATAGTTCGCCCGCCAAAATTTTCACGAGGCCGTAGGTGATATTCAAGAGCGCGGGAACGCAGAGTTTGAATAGGCAAAGTTGAGCGTGGGCACAGGGTCACTATCCTAAAATTTCAGTCTCCTAGACTCCGTGGTTCCCGAGATATTAATTTATCTGTAAAAAACTTTCGCGAGGCCATACGTGTTACCCGAGGGTACGGGGAAGCTGAATTTAAATTTGCGGAGTCACACGTGGGTGGGGAACGTTCCCCTAAATCTTCAGATTCCTAGCTTTTGTGGTTCCCGAGTTGAAAGACACACACACACACATAAACACAAGCAGACAACCCCGTGACAATATGAGTTTTGTACTGCTGTTACACAGCACAAAACATAGCAGAAAACGCATAAAAACGGATGTACAGAACCCACAGCTGGACAACGAATCATTCCCCGTCTGGGGATGTTTCTTCGTCAAAGCTAATTGCATGGATTGTTTCATTGTTCTTCTCCGATGGCACGCATGGGACTCGAGATGACCCATAGTAAAACTGTCAACAATTTTCCAACTAACATCCGACTTTTTCATCATTTCAATTTAGAGTTCAGGCCTAGTTCGTTTTGCACTACTCCAATTCTAGCTTTATATTTTCGCATCTCAAACAGCTGGCAAAAGCGCTTTTCGCAGCAGTTTATCAGTCTTTTTATGCGTTTTTTGCAGTTATGCAATGCAAAAACGCATATTAACGAGGGGTTGTCTGTGTGTGCATCTGTCACGCACTTTCATCGCAAAACCTATAAAAGCTTCAGGGCTGAAATTTCGGGAACTTAATCTACATGCACGAACCGGCCCTAATCCCCAAAATGGGCGCCATTATCTGCGTGATACCCGCGTACGGGCCTGCCAAAATTTTTTTCGGGCAAGTTCATAGCTCGGGAACTTGAGAAGCTAGAACGCTGAAATTCTAGGGGAATATTCCCAGTCCAACTAGGTATCAATGCATTAAAAACCATCCCCTGAGTAAGCGTGGTACCCGCGTACGGGCCTGCCAAATTTTTTTTTGGGTAAGTTCATAACTCAGGGATCTGAGAAGCTAGGACGCAGAATCTTAGGAGGATGTTCCCTGCCCAAGTGGATATTAATGAGTCCAAACCCTGCCCGCGGGTAAGCGTGGTACCTATGTACCGGCCTTTGAAAGTTTCTTCCGGATAAGTTGCTAACTCAGGAACGTAAGAAGCTAGAAGACCGGAATTCCGAAGGGATGTCCCCTGATAGTCCTGGCGGCCAGTTTGAAATTCTTTTAGCTAGAAGCATCTGCCAGAAAAACTAGTGTCGTTAGCGACAAAAATCTGCGGGGAGCTATGCAAAAAACGCATCTTCGAACAGGCGGCCTGTACGTTGGCCAATTATTTTGAAATAAAATATCAAATATTTCGCTTTAGCCTTCTCCCTCTTCTCCAGAAAAAGCGAAGATACGATTCTAAAACAGTTACTTCCATTTTTCAATCAATTCTTAACG